CGCTTCTCTGAGGAAACTTTTATGTACTTGAATTTAGGGTTGAAGGATGGAGTCTCGATTTCGGAGTCGGAGTAGGTGGTGTCTCCTGAGTTACAATTTACCGTCTACTTTTTCTGTAGCGGGTCTCGCGCTTGGAATGAGCTGGGCCTGTAAGTAGTGATCTCCGCCGGCTCCACCAGTCTTGTACCTATAGTGGACCTAGAGCTTTAGCTTAGGACTTTTACATTAAAAAAACTGGTAACCACTAACAGTCAAGTAAATATGTGTTAAACAGATTACCCTAAATTTAAATAAACTATGACTATGTTTAAGTTGAGTAGTTTACAAGTATACGAGGTTAATGCATCAAGGGCAATAACTTAGTCATGCAAATGTTACAACTAGCGACCAGACGGATGGCCAACGTCCTACGCACAAGTCCCTTATTGTTTCATTTCTTCTATTACCCATGATAATGTCACAGCCAATTTTAGAACCATGTTTGGAACGAAGATTTGAGCAGTTCGCATGGGCAATCTAATAGTCATTCTATACTTGGAATTAGTAGAATACTCAAGATGTATATAGATTCCTCATGTTGGAGGACAATCAATTCAATCAACTCAGAGAGATTCACATTAGTATAACTTTGCCTAACATTATGTGACCCATACGTTATTTATCCCGTAATAATATTTTATATTCTAGGTCTCAACAGTATTTATTTATTTATAATAATTAACGTCGCGCCCGAGCACAGCACGTGAGCTCCTCACGTACCGGTTAGCCCAGTCTATCTACAACAACCCGACGTGTTGGCGCTTACACAGACCCATTATGGCAAATGAAAACCAGGATCTTATTATCCTGTGCTCGAAGATTTAATTGAACATGAATATCAGCCTCCCGTTGTCTCTCATGATTTGCAGATGCTATTCCATGGGGAATATAACGTAAAGAAATAAAATTAGTAACAAGAAATATTGGTTGCATCGCTTAAAAGCTCTCACGCTTTTTTTATATGACTTCATTCTCGTCAGACTTGTTGTGCTTTTCGAAAAAAGTTTGTGTCGTGCACCCAGCTACTGAATGCATGAACTCCCTCCGCTGTAGCAAGAGCCCAAGATATGGTGGGATTGAAGATCTGAGCCCTGTAGAGCTCTGCCTGGTACTGCTCGAGGTTGCAATAGAAAAAGTGGTCGGGGGTCCTCTCTTCTCCGCATGAGCAGGTAAGGGTGGTATTTTCATGCTGAAAGCGTCGGTGGCAGTCCGCGAAGTCGCCGTGACCGGACCGTGCAGCTAGAAGATATCCTTATGTGCGTCGCCCCAGACGGGTGAGCTCAATGTTGGTCTTAGTATTAGGACCAATACCTAATTCTTTGTATCTAAAAGGTGAATTTTCTGCTCAATATAGTGCGACTGAAGCCTCGTATTAGGCTTTGACTTCTCTCCTTGCCCTCGCAATGGAGATTTCTAGGTATGGAGCTGGAGCCACACAGGCGGCTTTAGCAAGCGCGTCGGCTGCTTCGTTGCCGAGAATACCTACGTGGCCTGGGCACCATCGGATAGCCACTTTCCCAGGCGTCGTATTTTGACCGCAGATCTCAACAGTATAAACCAATGACTCCAAGGGAAGACTGTAGAGATGTCAGACGACCTCGTATGCTGACAGTTGCTTCAAGGTTGTGTCGCTTCCTTGCTCGTGTGAAATGCATGAGCTGGTACTTCTCCGGCGCAAACTTCACGCCGTTCTTTTCTGTCCACGCCTCACATATCACGTGCTGTTCCTCTGATCTCTTGCAGTTTTTTTCCGTTGTACCCAGCCATGTTAGTGTGTTTTTTATTATTTTTTATCCATTTACATCCTATGTAAGTCAAAGAAAATTGTAGGAATGTTAGTATGTTAATATCATCAAGTCCAACTGCCGAGGTACAAGAAGTTTGAAGTATCTGCAAGAGCGTACTGACGAAGAAGAGGAAAAGAATCGGTGAGAGCCATGAGCCTTGAGGTATTCCTGTGCTAGTGTAGATACGTTTTCCTATGTAAGACCCGAGATTCATCGAGGTAGTTCTTTCTTCGGGAAATGATTCCACGAGTCGGCTGATCCACCTTGGAATACCTTTTACTCTCAGATTGTATATTAGCCTTTCGTGGGAGACGTTGTCAAAGGCTCCTGATATGTCAAGGCTGAGAAGTGAAGCGACCTGATTTTTATCTCTACCCCAGATGTTATGATTCTGTTCAGTTAGAAGCTCTACTGCCGATATCGTGAACCTATTGGGTCGAGCACCCATCTGTTCGTTTGGAAGGAGATAAAAGTCTTGTGCAGCCTTTGAGATCTAGTTAGCTACTAGTTTTTCAAGAAGCTTACCCGTTGTACTTAGAAGTGGTATCGGTCGATAACATTTCGGTGTGTCATATCTCGGCTTCTGTGGCTTTTTTACAATTAGTTATCGTTTGTAAGGTAGTACGTAATTAATTGATGGATCAGCAAATTATTGAACACAGCACATATTGATTAGAGCTAGAGTTTTAAATTTTAATTTCCGAAGCCCTTCCTGGTCGTAGATTCGGAATGCACTCCGGTGATATTCCTATTCTATTAGTTCAACTTTCTAGTGCCGCCTGGGTAACTAAAAAGTGCCATTGACTCAAGAATAAAAGAATACCTGCCAATCACCCGGAATCGTAGCCGGCAAAGACGAATTGTTCACCTTCCAGTGGTGCCGGTGTAATCGCTCAGTATGCTCTGCATATCTAGGATAGCCAAGAAGAATCGCATCCAAATCGAAGTCGAAAGCAACCCCATACATATGTAAAATCAACGACTCCTCAATAAATGTTTGACCTAACATCCTCACGTGAGTCCTCCACCTCAATCTTACCACACCACCTCGCCTCAAATACCGATAATGGTGTTACTCCAATTGCAATTGGGCATTTGCCTCATCAAAAATCTTCCATCTACCACTTCAAATTTACGATGCTATGTATACCCGTGAGGAAGAATTAAGTCATTAACTACAAAGCTTGAGTTTTGGTCTATGGAGGACCGTTGCTCTAATGGGGCTTCACACCTTGAGGGAGGGCAGGCAGCTGGGACGTGGGACGAACGAGTGAGGAGGTCACAAATGGGCATGCTGGGACGCACATTTTTCGAGTGTTTTCGACTTAAGGGTGTTTGTGGGCGCAGAAGCAACGATTTCGGGTGGTGCAACCGACACTTTAAAAACTGGTAACGATGGAAGGTTTTTTGTCCGCCTCCTGGTAGTCATCTCCCCGAATTAAAGTCTGGGTAACCTGGACACCTACCACACTCGAGAAAGGAAGGACTGTAAGGCCATATCTCGAGCGGCGGCTATATACAAGATGGCAAAGACTTGTTAGGATAGCCAATGGTTTTTTCTGTTTTCCTTTTGGTGGATATTAACGGTTGAGGCAAGGGTGAAAGTCCCTTACACCAAGGTCTCGAGTGGTATCAGCGAATGCACCCACTACATGAGTAGTCCAAATGTCAAACAGAGTTATCTTCGTATGTAGTCGTCGGGGAAGCTAGCCTTCCTCTTGTCATGCTCTTTGAGTGCAGGGCTTGTGTCAGTCATGAATAAACTTTCATTTATTCATTCATACCCGGAATCGTAGTCTTGGCGCCCACAAACTTTCCAAACATGAAAACCCCTCGAAAATATTAGTCCCAGCATGCTCACGAGGCCCCTTACCTCTCTAGTTCAATGTCCTTTTTGACTATAATCCCTCAAGTTATGAAGCCTGATGAGAGCAGCGGTCTCCCATTACCTAAATCCAAAGCTTTATGTTTCACAAGTTATCTCCCTTCTTACGGGTAAATGAGGCATCGTCATTTTATAGTAGGCGATGGCTGGTAATTAATGATGCAAGCTTCCACTTGCTATAGGAGTAAATATTTGACCGGTCGATGAAGTGAGGTGGTACATGGCGAAATCGAGTTGGAGGACTCGTGTGAGAATGACAAGACCGACAGAGATCAGAAGTCATCGATTTTAGATATGCTTATGTTTGCTCTCAACTTTGATTCAGAAGCCGTTCATTTTGGTTATCCCAGGTATGCAGAGCATAGAAAGCGATCGCAGCGGCACACGTATGTGTGTGTGTGTTTATTGAACTACTGGAGTATTAGACTATTTAGCACATTGGGCTCTTCTCTGGCCCGTGCCACACCTGGTACAGTGCTCCTTGCATCTCATATTTCTTGAAAGATCATTGATATATTCCCCTTGATGAATAGCCATTCAGCTCAATATTTACCCGTGGAATTCGGCCCCATTTTCCACGGAACCTTCTACCCAAAAAAAATAAAAATGGTAGCAATGGAATCTGCGTGCGCGGGAAAAAGTCTCAAAAAACCTGCAGCCCCAGCCAGGCGAGGCCTAGACACCGGGACCACATGGAGTTTGCATATACATCTATATCTCCCTTCTTTGTAAGAGTCGAGGCAGTCTTGATCAAATTCACTATCTTCGTATCGGGTGCTGGGTACGCTCCTGAAACTCATCGGATGACTATTCCTCCATGATTAAGGTTTGGTTATGAGAAGAGCTTTGACCCTACCATCTAATCTAATCGTGGTTAGCTTCATGATAATGGTGATAGGGGAATGTGTTGAGAGATGAAGACGATACAGACCGCGAAAGCAATTGGGAATCCTCGTCAAAGTGAGGGCTTTGTTGCTCAATCTCGGCTCTGCAGACTCTACAGTGAGAGCTGGAAGTTCATAGGGGACACCACTGACAGTTGTTGAGAAAAGTCCCCCTGTTGGCACACGTAGGATAAGCACATAGTGACTATGCTTCCTAATACCCTTACAAGCACATCGGGCATTAGTTCACCCGACAGTTGACCCGATTACCAATATGAACAAGGGCTCTACACCCCGCGTTCCAGTTGAAAATTCTTATCGATTCTTGTTATCGTCGTATCTTCCACTCCTCCCCCCGCTAAAATAATAATCCTTTACAATTCCTCATTTTGAGTTGGAAATAATATGGAAAGCCCTGAACAAGAGGTCGAGCCCTCGCTCCCGTTCAATGATTACGCACCCACTTTTTATATCGGTCATCATGAGTCAAGGCGCACTCTGCCTGTCGTAGACCTTGCGCTACGTGAAGCGCAGGATGTGGGAGTCAGTATTCACCGAATTTGGTCCCCTTTGCAATATTGATATGCAGTAGTATGATATGATTACATGTCCCATTACTACGGAGCATTTTCAATCAAGAGTTCTGGCGCTCATATCTAATTATCTCGGTGAAAATACTGAAGCCAAGTCTCGGTTGGCATCTGCCGCTTCGGCTCCTATTATCCCGCCACTTACGCCCGCGGATTCCTCTCTGGTTCCTGGGACCACGGCATCACAATTGATAGCCTACTCAAGCCCATGGATTGACCTCGCTTCATCAGATCCATTGTTGGCGAATATATCACGTCAAGTTCTAAATATTGAAGTAGCCTATGCCTCTTTTTGTGGAATTGGCAATGTGATCGTATCAGGGCCAAGGACTTATAGCAACGTTTCAACCTCTGAAAATAAACTGGCGACTTATGCCAGAGCTATCCAAGAGGCTCTTGTTATTGGCAATTTTACACAAATAGCAATACATATTCCGATGTACGAATGCGAGTTTCGAACAAAAATAAAGGGAGATATTAGCTTGCTATCTACTCAACAAAATCCGTCTGGAAAGACGCAGACAGGCCAATACGTTGACCTGTATGAAACATGGGATGCCTGGAATGTAATACGTAGTGTGTGTAAATACAACCCAAGGCTCGCAGTAGGTAAGAGATCTATTTAAATATTATGTTTGACCATATGCTCTCTCAAAGATAATTTCCAACCCTTTCACTTAATTCCTTTAGAGTAGGGTTATGACCTCTGAAGGTATAAACCCCACTTTAAAGCCTGTGAATCGCAAGGTGATGGGATTTTGTTAACACAATAGCAATAGCTCTTGAAATTCCTCGAAAACTACCGATAGAATCTCTACAGTCTCGTTGGTTTGCTGAGCCTCTACGGCTGCTTCTCTTCAATGCATCAACCTTTTTAATGAACAAAGATGATTATCCGGTATTAAGCAAAAGCCATCAAACCTTACTTTCACGTTACATGCGACTCAAGCAACCTCCGTGGCTTATGTTATGTGATTATGAAACCTTTTCTATCTTAGAGAAGCCAGAGAAAATCAGTTCATCTATTGCTAATAGTGAAACTGATGCTACACCTAAAAATGGTACAGAATCAATCTCTCTAGGATCCTCAGGTGACTCAATTGGTAAAGAGACCATCCTGAAAAATTCTGGACCAAATGATTACGCTGTAGCTCAGTTAAAATACTTACGTTACCTTCAAAGAAATCAACCGGCACAAACAACAATCGAAAAGTTTGGGTCAGGGTACCAAGATTATCTTCAAGCACCACTTCAACCGTTGACAGATAATCTAGAATCAGTAACTTATGAAGTTTTTGAAAAAGACCCGGTTAAATATGATAGTTATGAGAAAGCTATTGCACTAGCTCTATCTGATTGGTCTAAGCACGATAAACCTACTTCTGGACCAAATAAAACCATAGTTGTAGCCGTCGTTGGTGCGGGGCGTGGTCCGCTTGTTTCTCGAGCCTTAGCAGCTAGTAAGGCAACTGGCACCTCTATAGAACTATGGGCGATTGAAAAGAATCCCAATGCCTTTGTTCTACTACAGAGGCATAACATGGAAGACTGGGGGGGTGTCGTTAATATTGTTAAGAGCGACATGCGGGCATGGAAAGGACCACACCGATATTCTAACGGCGTAGATGTCATTAACAATACATCTAATGAGCCTTCGCTAAGCTTTTCCCATAGCAAAGTTGATATCTTAGTCTCAGAGCTTCTTGGGTCATTCGCTGACAATGAGCTTTCTCCTGAGTGCCTTGACGGTGTGCAGCACGTTTTGGCGCCAGGACATGGTATATCCATTCCGAGCTCTTACACGGCTCATTTAACTCCCATTTCGGCACCTAGATTATTTACCGATATTTCACACCGAATCACCACGGAAGATGTAGCCAATGATACACCATACGTTGTCATGTTGCATGCCTTTGACTTTCTAGCCACTTCCGTACCTGATCACCCTCGCATTCAAGAGGCTTGGGAGTTTGTACATCCTTTACCTAGCTCCACGCTCGCCATCTCAGAGGCGAGACGAAGCGGCGGGGTCAGTGGTGGAGGCGGAGGTAGTATGTCTGGAAGTGATGGTGCGAATGAACACAACGTGCGCTCGACCAAACGCAAATTTATTTGTCGAGATCGTGGCGCTGTACATGGAATTGCTGGCTACTTTGAAGCTGTTCTTTACGACGGCGGCCTATCCGGCAAAGTTGAACTTAGTACACGCCCTGATACTATTGAAGCTAAGAGCCCCGATACGATCTCATGGTTCCCCATCTATTTCCCTCTGAAGGTAAATCTAAAGTTTACCTTCCCTCTATGAATTCTTTGCTTACAGAAACTTACTTGCGTTTAGACCCCTGTATACTTTCCTGACGATTCAGAAGTTGAAATTAGTATGTGGCGCCAAACTGACGACCGCAAAGTTTGGTACGAGTGGATTGTCGAAGCGTTTGTCATGATGGGCCCAGATAAACGGTTGCGGCTAGGAATTAGTGAAATGGGCAGCAGCAATAAAGTTGGCTGTCTCATGTAACTGTATTGTGAACCCAGGACGGAACTGTCGTCGACCATGAATTGCGAAAACAAGTCGCACGCTACCTTAATGAGGTTCTATTTCACATTGATCTGCATTTATCTAATGTTTGAAGGAATTAGATAAAAGTGTTAGTTCGCGTGAAAGGTAATGTTTGCACTTTTCGATTGAGAAACAAAGGTAAGTTGCGCCTTCATGCCGACTCACTTCATCAGTTAGTTCAACTACGACATGCTGGAAATGAATACCTGAAGACATTTTCAGAAGAGCTTTGGCCTAAGCTCAGGATTATATGGGTGAAGGTTGTATTATGGGGATTGCTCGAAACTTATCGCGCAGTTAGAGCTAAGTGACAGTATGACGCTTACGAACCGCTGACGGGGTCGGGGTAGAAATTGGCATTCATCGCCTTGTCGAATTCTTACCGACTATCTAGGGGATAGGTAGATCTCAGTCTATTGCCAATGTTTAGCAATGAGCTTGAGAAACTAATCTCTCCAGATCTTCCATTTAGAACCCATCACATGTTCACCCCGCTCTTTCTTCATAGACAATGTGACAATAGAATTTTGTTTAGCCTCCCATAACGGTATCTGTATTACCACTATTCTGGTTAACGCCTTGAATCCACAAAACATTGTTACATCTGTGAATAAGTCAGTTAGCAGTGGTTGGCTACCTGTGAAACCGAGATTAATCACCGAATGAGTACTTGTCCGAGGACACTGGTCATTTGTTGGTCAATCCACTCCTCCGCCCCGGACAGCTGTATATTCATGTAGCTATCAGTGCTCACGAGTCTTCCCTTATATTCCGTCTGGCCCCATTTTAGCCGGATAATGACTTCCTCGTTCACACTTCCCTCACACCATGCGCGGTTAGTCGAGCATAGATTTCGGAGTAGAATAGAGGCCTTACAGATTTTGCAGCATCGGCCGCGGATTGATGGGCATGAACTATGTTGTTGGTCATGGGTTAGCATCGTCGGGGAGCAGGAGAGAGCCTTACGCTCATGTTGTGCCGGTATTTGAGGGGCCTAGGTTACTGTAGAGCTAGATGTGATGTTTGAAGAGAGATTGTTTGCTGTACGTGACGTGAAGGGAGGAAAGGTCGTCTTTGCAAGCAAGGCTATCGCGCACTGTGACCCACACTTTACGATGTGCGCGATAGATGTCGCGTAGTCCTCTCCCAGTCACGAGATTTGTGAAATATGTAAGCAGACTTACAGGGCAATTCATTTTTTCGCATTCGATCTAAAGTTGCATATGTAGCTCTCGGCTTGGATGGTGCAGAAGTACACTATTGGGGCCTTTCTCCCAAGTAGAATCTGGGTCGCTCGAACACCTACCCCATTTGCATCAGGAGAAAGCTGGTTCGAACCCAGTAAAACCCATACACTACACTCTCTCGCGGTGATATTGTATTTATTGGATGATGAAAGCACGCTCAGAAAACCACAGGTTTCTCACGCTTTTCCCTTTGGTGGGTATGCACGGAAGAGGTTATACGCCGTAAGGGTTAACCTCGAGTGGTATCTGCAAATGAAACCTGAGTGTGAGTGTTCAAAATGCCAAATTGAGTTATCCTACTTAGAGTACATATCCTCCGATTAAACATGCACGGGCCTCATGGCGCCAAATCAGGATAACCGGATAATTAATTTATCTTATTTATGTAGCTTTCTCGTCATCATAAATGACCGGTGCTATGCATGCATGTTGGGTGACTCTTTTTGTGTTATTGATACTTATTCTCTGGATTTCGTCCGCAAATACCACTACGAGGTATGCATGCTGACGCAAACAGACGACCCTCCTCCGTGAGTGCCAACTGAAGGGAAGTCGCAAATTTTGAATTATCCAGGTATGCCTTTGACATCTATATACGCAAGCACCGTGAGAAAAGTGGCTGTGTTTTGCCGGATATGAAACAGCGATCTACTGTCTCGAGTGGAAAATGTGTTCAAGCTATTCAGACTCTATTTGGAAGACCAGCCCAGATGATATACCATAGCATCATCCAACCACGGTGGTGTTCATAGTGTCGCCCGCACTCTCGCATCTGAAGAGTGTGTGTGTGTGTGTTTATTATACTACTTGAGTCTATGACTATCTAGCACATTGGGCTCCTCTCTGACCCAGGCCACACCTTGTACAGTGCTCCTATCCCCTTTTGTTACTTGAAAGCGCATCTGAAGATTTAGGGCGCACAAAGCTGGATTTGCAAAACACTCTGCCATAATTGGAAATCTTAACCATTCCATGAAAGTATTCGCCGTTGGCATTATCTAGTCTACTTTTCCGACTCTCACTCACTTCTATCCAAAAAACCTGGCTCCCAAGTTTTTCATACACAGTTTATCTCCTCCGACGAGTATCCATATTCTTGTGGGCATGTATGTGGATACCTTTTAAGGCCAGAGACTGATTTGACGAGAAGGGTGGTAACAGAAACGAGTAAGTCCTGCGTGTTGTAATTAAAGCAGCAACATGACTGCAGTAGACAAAAAGTACATACAAGAATAATATGCGGCCGGCAAAGACGAATTCTTCACCTTCCAGTGGTGCCGGTGTAATCGCTCAGTTTGCTCTGCATACCTGGGATAGCCAAGAAGAATCGCATCCAAATCGAAGTCGAAAGCAACCTCAATCTCAAGCACATCTCTATTTGATCACTTCTCAATCATGCAGCACTCACCATTATCTTTTGAGCCCTCAACTTCTTTCCAACCACATAACATCTCGCCTCAACGACCAATAAAGAAATTACTCCAATTGCATACAGGAGCTTGCCCCATGAATTTCCAGCCATCTCTCACTATATATTTGCGACGCTATTTATACCCGCAAGGAGGAAATATAGTCGAAAATACAAAGCCTGGGTCTTGGCTTGTGGGGGCTGTTACTCTAATGGGACAAACAACTTGAGGATGAACATGCGACTGAGATGTGGAGCGAGAGGGGGGAATAGTTCTCCGAAGATCACGCTGGGATCGATATTTTCGAGCGGTTTTCAACTGGAAGAATTGTGGGCGCCAAGGTTGATATTCCAGCTAATTAGTCACGAGGACTTCAATTGTCGATGAGTCAACGGCATCTTCCAGCGCCCTGGACGGCACAAAAGAAGTTGGGCTAAGCTACCATACAGCGATCACGCTCTGTCAAGACGTTTCTGACATTTCAGCACGACCTTCGGGAAGGAGTTGGAAGGAGGCTAGAAAGGCAGAGGGTGAATTTCCCGAGGTATCCACAAGTCTGCAGCGCCTAGCTGGCCGGCCTCTTCGTCGTAAGAGAGCCCCGCACCCTGTGGTTTTTGAGACTTTTCCCTGCAACTACACATTCGCAGATGGCTATTATTTTTAAGCTGGAGAATAGAGTTAATAATGGAATAACGACTCCTTTAATTGTGTACTCAAATGAAGATCAGTAAGGTATTACCCCTGAAAAGATGCCATGAAGGAGGCGTAGGAGAGAATATACTACCCGATGTATTTATATTCCTGATCTGTAGGCAGAAAGGACCTACATATCCTTATATAAAAATAGACACATGTGGAAAATAAACACATTGAAATATAACGATAACGAAAAAAGGTGAAATAACGTTTATTAAGGATCAAACTTTCCATGTTCTATGATCAACAATCTTCTCCGGAACCCATCTCCTGCTGACAAAAATTTGGCATATTTAGGTCGAACCCCAACTCCTTTTTATCCTTGCTTGCAGGCTTTGAATCATAAATCCTCTCACATTTTGTATAGCCAGCTTTCTCTAGAATGTGAACACCGAGAAATTGGGCTTCCGGCCCAAAAATTAGAGCGTAGAACCTGATCTTTTTGGGCCCTTACTATTTAGCATATATTATGATAAGCAGCGGGTCAGCCGTACCTTTGCGATTTGTCTCCCAACCACGAATAGGCCATTTCCAACTTCCAGGTGAAATGCCGTTGCGCCTTGCCTCATGTCTATAAATTCCGACGGTATGTTTTCCGGAAATGTAATCTGCGATGGCGGTCATCGCCTTTTTTCGATTCATCTCAATGTAGCGACCTGTAAATATCTGTCCATTACAATTATGACCCATTTCATTTATTCGGTCCAAGGTTTTAGGTGATTCCGGGATGTTTGGGCGAGAAACGAAAGGTACAATAGTCTTCCTTATTTGCTCACACTTTTTCTCCAAGCCCCTACGTAGTTGTATTACTTTCAGAACTCCTTGTTTCCTTGTAAATACCAAAAAGCATCTTCCATTGTTTTCAATGTTTTCTGATGGGTTTCATTAGTCTGAGTCAATATTATTAGAAATCATCAAACCTTACTCCTACGAAGTGGTGCTTGATGAGTTTCAAATAAGGGCCATATAATGGGAGCATCATCAGCCTTTTTTGCAGTAAGACCTGCTCGATAAAGCCTAGGATATTTTGTAGTCCGTTGTGTAAGAGCCCTACGGAAAGATTCCAAAACATGTGAATCTCGGAATGTCGCTTGGGAACACTGGTAGCCCACAAACTCTTCTGAGTCTAAGCTATTACCTTCATGAGATACTTTGTTGTCATCATGCAACAGCTCGAGACATAATTCAATATTATCTTCATGGCGTAGCACAACCCCAACAAGCTCGCATTCCATATTTATGACGACGCGAGTTTTTCCCTTCACGCCTGGATCCTTCATTGATTAGCACAAAATATACTTTCAAGTAAATCTATTCAGTTTTCATCAACGCCTACCATGAACGAAAGCTATACTTTCGTAAAGTATTGGCCAGGTCAACAGAGTTCCTGAGTCACGACCGAATAACTCAGACTCCTCCAAAAGCGCAGGAAATATTTTTTGACGGCTCAATGTATGCAGGTTGGCGCAAGCCAGCCCAACCGATTCCTTGACTGTGGCTCCTGTGAAGTACTGGTCATGGCAAACATAGTCATTCAAGTTTCTTTCGGTTGCTCCTATTGGGGGATCCACCTGGGAAGCAGAGCAAAAGCTTCTCTGCAGATATTTGATGAAAAGTAGACCGACGGCCAGGAGAGAAATTTTTGGCATCTCCGGATATCTTCATGCAAGATTCTTTTCAGAGAGAATTTACGTTTAGCAAAAGGCATATTCAAGGAAATACTGAAATCAAAAGTAATCCTTTGCATGACCATCTAATTTTCCACTGAATCGTATATGACTATGTGGGGCAGGCTTGGATTTTTAATTTCATCCCATTTCATATCCCGCCTCAACATTCCCTTGACAACTTCGTCACATCCGGAAAATTTATGTGTGTAGAAATTGGAGGGCTCCATGTAAGTAAGTGTTGTATTTTAAAAAATGTAGGAACGAGAAGACTCTGAGACCTAGATAACAGACAGCTTATGTCAAAGCCGATAGTCGAGACTTTTGATACTAACGCTCAAGGAATCCCCACTTTCTCTTCACTATAACCTGATAGGGCCCAAAGCAGTTTAATAATGCAGGATTGCATCGTCCATTAGTGGCCCGACGCGTAATTGTTAAAAAGAAAGTTACTAGGAGTCTACTGCCCAAGCCGGCGTAGGACAAAGACTGAAGACCTGTACGCGGTGTCTACGAACCTGGGAGGAAAATATTCTCACAGAGCCAAGTTCAGTCAAATTTCGCAATTCCGAAGAATTGGCCCATGAGGCAATGATCCTAGACTCTCTACAAAATCAATTTCTCCCTCCCAGCGAGATTGGTCCCCATCAACACCCCATCATGTTTACAAGTACGACCTGGTACATCCTCATTTAAATGATCACACTTCTCATCGACTCTTCTCTGGCCTAAGCTGGCCACCAAATACACGCCCACGCCGATATTTACACCCGACGGAGGAAACAAAGCGTGGCGCATAAATCTAGGAGACAGTTATTTAGGATGAACGTGAGAGAGATTAGGGCAAGCTCACAAGATGATGTAGAGGATGAATACCATCTCGACGGGCGTGTGGGTTTGGATTTTGGCAAGGAGTTTCACGAATTCTTCTTTGTGCGCGACAAGACTTCGCTTGCGAGAGTACAGATGACACTGCAAAAACAATCAAGCGATGGAAGGTTCCGTGGCCCGCTTCCCAGTGGTGTTCTCTGGTATAGTTTGAGTAGCCTAGGCGCCTACTCCACTTGGGAAGGAGACACCTAGGATCGCATTTCGCGCGGAGAAGAGTTAATGGATGATGGAAGCATGTCTGGATAACTTGGGGGTATGGAGACGTTTCCCTGGGTTGGTATTCACGGATGAGGGCTAACTCGAGGGGAAGAAAAAGCCGGCATAACTTCGCAGTGTTGCTCGCGAATGAAATCCGAGGCACGAGTGCTCTTCCTTTATATTCAGTCATCTATTATGTACTTTTCTTTGATGTGGTGTCATAGCTAGTCAGCTGCACTCGCAATTAAAATTGATGCAAAAAAAAGCCCAAGCCGGCTATGCAGCTACTGTGAGGTAACCGAGAACCTGATATTTGACAGGCAAATTGAATTTGTAATCAAAGAAAAGGATAACTCAAGACAAAGACTATTCCTATTTCTCCCGGATATCTAGGATTATGTACACTGATCATAATTGAGATGATCTCTTGAACTTTAATTATAGAAATGCGCTAGTGATAGACAAACTGCGGCTCGAAAAAAAAATTACTGGCACCAACAAGAATAATCAACAGACATACCTATGGAAAGTCTCTATTTTTGGCTAGAGACATTTCCCCGTCCAACTTCTTCGATGGCTATTCTTAGCCTTCAGCATAAAGCTTGGGCCTCACGTCCTGTCTGGCAATTTCGGCCTCTCAAGGATACAATTATAGTTGCTTACTAACGGAGAGAGCGGGTTTATCGGCATGCAAAGATTATGTTGAGTTAAATTGGCCACTGGAACTCGAATTGGTGTAGTGCGGTGAGATATATGAGATTCGAAACTCACTCTTCTTCGGCGCCTGCAGTCACTATGATGTTAGGTTACTCTGAGTGCCCGGATGAAAATAAAGGTGAGTTCGATGGGGGAAGACATCGAGTACTCGTAGCCCTCATGCGACGAGGCGGATGCAAGGCACAGGAAACGTTGACACTGGAACGATAGCTTGAATAGTTGTCCGTCCCAATCACAAGTACTCAGCATTGCGCCAACTAGAATCTTTGACGCCGCCTATCGAACCTTCGCCATCACTGTTTGTTGGAATGTCCCATAACCAGATAGGCCAATTCTTGTAAGGTGAGATTCTGATTGGAAACAGCGAAAAGGAAACACTCCTATTTTCTCATCATAGAAACTTCGAAGTTCGTAGGATTCTTATTAAAGTTTGGATTTTTTGCATTCAACAGGGGTAGCTGTTCAGATCATGAAGTTTTCTCGTCCCGAATTTACCGTAGCTGTAGTTCAAAATCGACTTAGTCGAAGCTGAGACTTGTGGGAATATGCCAAGGCCACCCATATCCCTTCTACCTTGGCTCTCTTTTTAAGTCTCACAAAAACGAGACCCTTCGAGGCGCTTTCATCGATCCTCAATACAAACCAATGCATGCCAATCATTAGCTTTCAAAATGAACCCCTCCAGACAAATATCTATTGAAGGATGTTCGTTATTCTCCATGGTAAATATTGATTTACTAAATACTAAAAACCATATGCACTAGTGATGTAAGACATAAAATGTGGCTTAGAGATTAATGTGATACCCAAACCATTGTAGCCGTGTACATTTATGCGATTGTGATAGCAGCTGGTGCAGGTACGGGCTGTTCGTGATATCTCCATTACGTTCCCTCATGAGTTCTAAATCATACAAATCTCCATTGACAATATCGCGGGTTTTAACAAGCCGCAGTGATTTCCTCCATGATCTTGTGCGCCTTACAAAAGAAAGCCAACGTTAAATCAAATTAAAACTCCGATCACTGAAGAACGGCAAACCATTTTTGAAGCTTCAGATACACTTTTCTGTACATACCAGCGTCCAGAATTTCTCTAGAGCTCACCTGCGTGCGAGCTTCCTGTCGTAAACGAAGAGCCTTAGTGCTTGGATGTGACGACTATTTTTGTCAGTGAAATCTTAGCAGGGTACACTTTTCCGTTCATACCTGCAGGTACAATGATGACAATGAGCAAAATTACTATTCCACCAATAAGACACATTCGCATTTTCATATCTGGCTTTCGTTAAGGCCTAAACTTTCCATCTGCTTGGTTCAAGCTTACCTTTCCACCACATCTGTTTCCTCACCCTGTTGGCACCGCGCCGAAAGCCTTGAGCTGATACGGCGAGGTTATCAGTCTTATCTTGGAGAGAATCCAATCGTTCACCACGCTGTGAGACCTTGTTGATGTTTTCTCGCATCACACCGACGGTGTCGTCAATTTGCTATCAAACTAAATGTTAGCACGTATTAATTATTTATGGTAATAGCGCAAAAGTGTATAAATTAAATCGACGCGTATTTAAAAGCAGGCGTCGAAGTACTCGGTGGCTCGGGTCATGGTAGGCTTTGGATTAGCTTTCTTCTGCTATATTTTAACGTTTTCCTAGTGATGATCTTTGTGTCGTCCAATATCATCGATGCGTACGCGGTGTAAAGATAGGAGGGTGGATGACTCAAGTTTATCAGTGAGGAAATATCGACACAAATGTTTTTTGCGTAATTATCGATGAGACTGACTATTCAATATTGATTTTGCAATCTCTTTCCGATGTCATATAATGATTTATAAATGATTCGATTGTGGTCGAGGCGCATAGGTCCAATGAGAGCGATGATAAGTAAGAAATTGTAAAATTTAAACTCACGGCTTGTAGCGCAGCTGTCCTCTGATTTCCTGGTGCTGCCTGGCTGGCAGCTGGTCCACCTGCCGCCGCAGACTCGCTGGGGATATATGGATCATATGGACGGTCGCCAGTGCTGGTCATATTGATTTTGAAGATGCGGTACTTGTTGGGGCTGTGAGTTTGAAGCTGTTGTAGGGTTTGGATCGTTTGTTATATGCGACTGATGGTGAAGACAGATGTTGATATTGTTAGATGGGGGTGGTTGGTGATCGGAGGATCCTGTTGTTGAGAAGGGAAACGGAGGAAGAGGGAGGCTGGGGGGTTAGCGGAAGGCTCTCGTCGCAAACTGAGGTGAACGCGCGGCAGAGGCCCAAACTTCGAAACGTGACTATTTAGCATCAGGGATTATGTTAATGCGTAGTTCCCATGGTAGCGAGCAAAATATTACGTTTGGAGGGTAGGGTGGTTTACAAGTCGTGCATAAGATAGTCATTTTACATGACCGCTATATTGCCTTTTTAGGCCCATATCATGGCTTAATTTCACATTCATAATATTGATAGATTGGGGCTCTCGGCCTATCTCGAGCCTTCACAGTGCGAAACGGCCAAGGAAAGGCAGCAAATAGACTCATCTGGGACTCAGGTAATGTAAGCCGCTATTGTCATCAACAATAGGCATGGGACCAACATTTCCTCAGCCGACGAAATGGCTCGTTCGAGTGCGCCAGAAGTTAAGGCATTTACCAAAGTATTCACTATGGTCTAGTTGGTGAGTGGGAGACTTATTCACGGTATGAGAAACCTGCTAAAGTTAGGGCAGGTGAAGGAAGTCCGTGTGAGTGGCTAGCGATGCCTCTGACATCAATCAAGCTATTTTTAAATCAGACTAGACACATAGAGGTGCCTGGGAGAGCTAACAAGGGACACACTTGATTGGATAGTAGAAGCAAACGGAAAGTATTTATCACTCTGTAGCTCGTTGTAAAGAGACGAGATGATCTGATGGTCACAAATGTATCCGCTTAGAACTAACAATAACTTTTGTAAGCTACGATTTCCCTCCTAGTGAAAAGTTATAGAAAAGTCAAATAATTTGATACTCACTGTCAAACTAAATATTAGTCATGCACATAGGCTAACCGTTTCGTCTTATAGACTGCCGTGAGAGGAACGATTTGTAATTGAAATTGCATACCATTCAACATTCTACTAGACAGTTAGCGCCAAAATTTTAAACTACTCCAGATAAATGATTTCGAAACCGAAAGTGGTGTACTCGGAAAGTCAAGATTGAAATACCTTCCACTCAAGACCCAGACAAATATCATGACACATGCGACGCTGATCAATAAGCCAATGATTCGAAACCTTCTGCAAGACCAATCTCGATAAATCGTAGCTCATATTAAAGCTAAATATCAGCTATGGATGTGGTTTAGAAAATTATTTATTTGAAGACCACACTTCTCATCGACTTAACCCATGTCTTTTATTGGCACCCAAATATCCCCGGCGACTCTATAGATACCCACCAAGAAGGTAGATCAATACAAAGAGGCTTCATGAGTCAAAAATCGAGAAATTCACTGGGAAACAAAGTGTCGTTGTGAGCCGACGATGTGCACAACTTTAGTGTAGTTTTAAATTTCACGACACTCGTGAGAGATATTTGTCTAGTTCTGGGTCTGTGAGTGCAGACAAGGCCATAGATATATTCAAGGATGTATTCAATTTACTCAGTGTAGGTCAGGGTATCCTAGAGATTTAATATACTCAAGATAATATGAAGAGAAGATCCTTCTTCTCGCCACGATGACCGACAGAATAACAACACCATGCTAGGAGGGCTCAAGTTCCTCGTGTCATGTTAGTCTATTCTTCACACGTGAAGGAGTCGTTAAAATCTGGAAACAAATTACTTGATAAGAGTATGAGTGATGAGCAAAATTCTAGGACCTTGCCTTTAGTAGTATTGATAGCAGCTTCCTTGGAATTTACAGAGGTTTCCGTGATAAAATTATCCATTTATACATCAGATCATTATCCGAGGACTGGATTAATCCGTTGTTTCCAACGATTAAGATCATACTATCAAATTAGTAACATCATCGCTGCAAATTTCATAGCTATGTATTCTGGTACTTTAAGCCGGGTCCTGCCACAGACTAATTGGGACGATGTATTTGTGGCTTCGTATATAATGTATTTCAGAACCTAGCCTTCACTTGTAAATCCCTCTCCCTAGCCATGGTATTTTTTTGATTTAATTTTGTGTTAGGGTACATGGATTGTCTTTTCTGCCACACGACCTGTAAGAACCGTGATTCATGGGTACAAGTGCAAATGTTTACGCAACAGTCCAATTTATAAAAAGCCAAGGAAGACTGGGCCTAGGAGCAGTAAGTGGAATGATTTAGTGAGTGAACTGTCAATTGTATAGAGGTAGCATATGCGATGGCACTGAACATAGATTTCGTACCCAATGATCTTCTTTCAATGATTCCATGGTGCGTCACTAACAAAATTACTCCTGTGCGGCTACAGAGGACCCTCTGTGACCGTCTACCGACGCTTGGGAGGGCGGGCGGGCGGAGATAGGCGCTGGATTATTAGGCAGAATATCCAGGAGTCTGGTCATGCGGTGGCATTTGAGCAACGAGTATTTAATACAACGTTGCCTGTACTAAGATAATTTTTATTCTATTTTAATCATGAGTTGTTCATGTGAGGCCAACGGTATCGTTGGTACTGCCCGTGAAGTCGCCATTCTCTTAAGGCGTGGAAACCAGCAGGCATCCAGAAAGTGGCTGGTATACCTCAGCCTCCGGAATCCGTGATCTAGGCCTGAAGCGGGGATTTGAGATCCAGGAGAGTACGTCTCAGGAGGTCGAGGTTATGCTGAGATTGCTGTCGACTACGTAATTTCTCTGGTGGCGGCGCAGTTGTGTGTAGCAACGGAAGATGATGTCAAACAATCTAGCTACCTAGTGAGCCGTTAGTCCAGTAGTTAAGCAGGGGAAACTGCCACTAATCTCCCCTTTCCCGATGGCCCCGATCGGACATTTAAAGAGGCAGGTTGGGCAGGTGGTTCGTAGTAGGAAGGGCGGCGAAAGCACAGAGCTGATTACAAATTATGACCTGGTGTGGATTTAGGCTTCTTTGTCCAAAGGTCGCCAGCTATTTGAGATACGTAATGGGAAGAACAAGTGATGCGAAGTTGGCTGTCATGCTAGAATGAGCTTCTTGAGTGTTGCGAAGTCGAGATTAAAACTATTCATAAATGAATATCTGACCGGACACTATCACTCAATAATTGAGTGTCAGAAAAACTATTTCTGCATCTTGAGTGGGTACTGGTTTGTTGACCAGACCAGTGAAGCGCACACTCAATGGAGCAGATAATGTTATCAATCAAACCTCAGCATACTGCCGATTAGTAATAATTAGACATACCTCTTGCCCATCAATGTGATTTTAGGTAGTGTGTGTGTTTTATTGTAATATTTGAGTCATAGACAATCTAGCACACTGGGCTCCTTTCTAACCCAGGCCACACCTTGTACAGCTCTCCTATCCTCGTTTGTTACTCGAAAGATCATTGATATATTCCCCTTGATGAATAGCCATTCAGCTCAATATTTACCCGTGGAATTCGGACACCTTCTCCACGGAACCTTCTACCCAAAAAATAGAAATGGTAGCAATAGAAACTGCGTGCGCGGGAAAAAGTCTCAAAAAACCTGCAGCCCCAGCCAGGCGAGGCCTAGACACCAGGACCACACGAGGTGCGCGTATTCATCTATATCTCCCTTCTTTTTAACAGTCAAGGTCGACTTAATCCAATCCACCATCTCCGTATCGGGTGCTGGGTACGCTCCGGAAACTCGTCCGATGGCTTCTCCTCCATGATCAAGGGTGGGTGACGAGTAGGGCTCCGACCCTACCATCTGATCTGATCGTGGTTAGCTTCATGATAGTGGTGATAGGGGAATGTGTTGAGAGATGAAGACGATACAGACCGCGAAAGCGATTGGGAATCCTCTTCGAAGTGAGGACTTTGTTACTCAATCTCGGCTCTACAAACTCTACAGTGAGAGCTGGGGGGTTCGTAGGGGGCACCACTTACAGGTGTTGAGAATAGTCCCCCTAGTGGCTTCTTAGTATTATCCTGGCGTATTTTTATCAGCATTTCATTTTTATTTAGCTCTCTAGCCATGATAGATTTGAAATTGATTTCATTTAGCCCGATTTGCCGTGCTATGAGCCCATGCAGGAGAGGGCAAGACTGAACACCTGTTAGCGGCGTCCTCTACGAACCTGGGAGTGAAATATTATCCCAGGGCCAAGTTCAGTCAACTTCCGCAATATCGAACGAGTTGACCCAGGAGGCAATGATTTAAAACTCTCCACTCAATCAATTTTCCACTCCCAAAAGAGATCGAATTCTCCATAAGTTTCATCAGGTCTGCAATTACGACCTAATACATCCTCATTCCAATGATCACACATCTTGTCGACTTTCTCTGGCCTCAGCTGACCACCAAATACATGCCCACGTCGATATTCACACCGACGGAGAAGACAAAGCGGAGCGCACAAATCAGGGAGACAGTTACTTGGAATGGGCGTGAGAGGAATCAGGACAAGTTACAAGATGATGTAGAGGATGGCTTTAATCTCGACGGGCTTCAAATTCAAATTTTAGCAAGGAGTCTTGTTATATTAACTAGGCTATAGGGGAGCAGGACGATGGATACTCTTGGGGAATTTATGCTCACAGTAGGTCTCTATAATCGCTGTCGCGTGTGTTCTCGTGATATGTAAGACTTGACTCTATATTCTCGTATAGAGGAAACTTAGTTACAATGAATGGACGAACCTGGGAAGGGGCCCTACGTGTAGCAAAGCGGCATTCTATATCAGAGTCTTACATAAAGTCCTGCCCTAGAAACCCCAGAGAAGAAATAAATAGGTCTTCACCTCTGCCCCAACTCTGAGCCTTGCATTATGGATGGATAATGCGGTATTTATAAATGGATCTATTAGTAGTATCTCGAGAATGGTTGTTATACATCAAATGAGTAAAGAGCCTCGGGGACTGGCTGAAAAAGTGCAGGTGCTATGCTAAACGCAATCATG